CCCACTTTCTTCCTGGAGTGGAAGTGCGTCCATGTCGGCGCGCAGTGCGTACATGGGACCCTCGCCAGCGCCCCCGTGGAGGTCTGCAACGACGCTGTTCGGCGTCAGCCGCTTAATCACAAGTGACGCCGGCATCTTTGCGAGGATATCCGCAACGTAGTCGGCAGTTGGCTGCTCCTCGTACGCAACGTACGGGTTCTCATGAATGTGTCGGCGCCACCGCACAACCTCCGGCTGCACAGCCTCGATAAGAGCGTGAATAAACGACATGCCTTCCAACTGTTTCTAAGATAGACCACAACCACAAGGAAAGAAAGAGAGACGAAATGCGAGAAGACAATGAGATGCGGCGACTGTGACTACGGAAGTTCTACAGGATGGTTCAGCAGCGCCACATCAATAGTTTACAGAATGTCTTCATATGCATGTGCTGATATGTGGAAGGTCGCGGTGTGCCGCCACAACTACGCAGGAAAGAAGCAATTTGCTTTCTATGTGGTGCCAACAAAAAAATCATCGTGGTAACAACACATAGTGGCCAGTGTGATGAGTCAGAGAATGAAAGACCGGCGTTTAGTCATCATGATTAAGTAACAGTCATAAAGGGAAATAGAAAGAAACATGAACACTGAAATAATAATAATAAGCATGGCTCATGTCACGTAGGTTTCATTATAATGGCTTTCAGCCAGCACCAGACGAACAGTGACGCCTGTCAGAGCACCAACCCTATCTGCCTCATAGTTCGATCTCTGACACATCCGTACGGCACCGACCAACCCGCTGCGCACGCAAACCTTGGCGTTGTAGCCTGGCACAACTCCCTGGTAGTTGGGGAAATCCTCCGAGGCTGCACCCGGGCACCTCCTATACCGCGAACGCGTCAGGTTCCGGAAAGGAGTCAATGGGGTACTTCCACACCACAAAGGACTCTTGGGCATTGTAAGCGGAGCAGACGGGCTCGGACCAGTGAATGCCGAAACCAGCGCCGTCCACAAGCACAAACACATTCAGCAGCTTCCTGCAGCAACGCCAGGGCCTGCTCCTCCGATTTTATGCCGACTGTGTGAACAGTGCTCTTTCCGCATACATTGCATAGACTGGCGTTTAAGCATCCCGTTCCCACCGCCACCACCCATCAATCGTTGTAAACTCTCACCACTGGAGGCAACTGTCTTGCGCAACGGCACGGAATACTTTGCAGGCAGGATCCCAATGTGCGCTGCCGCAACAAGGGGGGCCACGCCCTCCCTCGGTGACGAGGCACGGTCTTCTTTCCCCTGCACGGTGAAAACGAAATAAACGACAACAGCACGAAAAGCACCAGACCTACGTCTTACCTTTTCCAAGTGACATTAAAGGCAGGCTTTTAATGCGACATATCATCTTGACGCCATCAAGAACACCCAGCTCCACGAGCTGCTTCGCCCCACTTGGAATCACCTCCTCCGCGTGCTGGAAGATGAACCGCACAGTGCCGCGAATCCTGTCCTTCACCTGGCACAGCACCTTCACGGCACCGAGAAGCATCGCTGTGTGTGCGTCGTGACCACACGCATGCATTACGCCAGGCCGCTTCGAGCTGAACGGCTCCCCACTTTCTTCCTGGAGTGGAAGTGCGTCCATGTCGGCGCGCAGTGCGTACATGGGACCCTCGCCAGCGCCCCCGTGGAGGTCTGCAACGACGCTGTTCGGCGTCAGCCGCTTAATCACAAGTGACGCCGGCATCTTTGCGAGGATATCCGCAACGTAGTCGGCAGTTGGCTGCTCCTCGTACGCAAAGTACGGGTTCTCATGAATGTGTCGGCGCAACCGCACAACCTCCGGCTGGAGAGCAGTGATCAGTTCATTCAATTATGTTATTGCTTCGGTTGCGTCACCTCTTCAGATTGCATTACAAATTAAAGAGAAAGAAATAATTCTGCGAAGGTTTGACATATCTTAACATGCCAATCACATAAAACATTTACCGCATATTTATGCCAACATTCACACTTAAACGCGTATTATCATTTATGTACGTCTGCGCTAATTACCCTCAATTAATAGTTTTACAATATAGCCAACGTGCATTTGGACACCGTGCTTTAGAGCGTTTTCGTACAACTTAAACTTCGAGCTGTGCTCCGTAAACACTGAACCAAAGTTTTCATCACGGATTCCCACATGACAGAAGCAGCCTGGTATCTTTGCAACATACTCTGAGAAGTCTTCAACACCAAACGATGGATGCTCTCGCTCCACAAACGCATCGGTCCCGACAAATCTTGATATGACTTCTTTTGCAATTTCATAAGCTGCTGGATCGTTGTACGTTACGATGTTAGGCTCCAGCCAACTCACCTCATGTTGGGCACCGTGCGCCTTCGCCACGCCAGCGACAATTTCCTCTACCATTCCAGGAACACGTACTTGAACGTCGCGGTCCAGGCAGCGCAGGGTGCCTCGTAAGTGTACAGTGTCGGGGATCACGTTGTAGCTGCCAGTCCCACCGTGAAACGTAGAGATGCTCAGCACGGGAGCCTTCAGAGCGCCGATGCGGCGCGACACAATCGTCTGCAGGCTTGTCACTACATGAGCGGCGACCACGATGGGGTCAATGCAAAGCTCAGGCTGAGAAGCGTGACCACCCGCCCCCTTGATTACAATGTCGAAGTCATCGCAGGCTCCGTACAGGGTGCCACAGCGTGTAGTGATTTTACCAGCTGGAGTCTCTGCAGCAACATGCAGTCCAAATATCATCTTGACGCCATCAAGAACACCCAGCTCCACGAGTTGCTTCGCCCCACTTGGAATCACCTCCTCCGCGTGCTGGAAGATGAACCGCACAGTGCCGCGAATCCTGTCCTTCACCTGGCACAGCACTTTCACGGCACCGAGAAGCATCGCTGTGTGTGCGTCGTGACCACACGCATGCATTACGCCAGGCCGCTTCGAACTGAACGGCTCCCCACTTTCTTCCTGGAGTGGAAGTGCGTCCATGTCGGCGCGCAGTGCGTACATGGGACCCTCGCCAGCGCCCCCGTGGAGGTCTGCAACGACGCTGTTCGGCGTCAGCCGCTTAATCACAAGTGACGCCGGCATCTTTGCGAGGATATCCGCAACGTAGTCGGCAGTCGGCTGCTCCTCGTACGCAACGTACGGGTTCTCATGAATGTGTCGGCGCCACCGCACAACCTCCGGCTGCACAGCCTCGATAAGGCCCTCTATGTTATCCATAACTTCCTAAAGTCGATGTGATATCCTCTCTCCTCCAAAAATAAAAGAAAAAATACAGGGCGAAAGACGTTTACATACAAAAAAAAAAATCACTGCGTGTGGAGCACATCATATTTGCGAATCGTTCCCTGCGTGAAAACAGTACGGAGTCAGCAATGGGAAATCCAAGCTACATAGGCAGCGAGAAATCTACTGAGTCGTGTACGAGATCCGCCGCTATGCGTCTTGTGCCGTTCTTCGCGTAATGTAGAGCTGAATCTTGCGCCGATCCCCATAGGATGGGACGAGAAACTCCAAGGCTGTCGTTGTCGAGCCATCGTCCAGCTCAAGCACGTGATCATCACCCAGCAGCGAAAGGAATGTATCAATACTCAACGATATGTCGTAATGTTTAAAATACTTTCTCATCCTTCTGTGGTACTTTTCGGGTGAATGCGCCAAATGCAGACGCTGCAAAATGTACAATACTGAACATTCATTTCCGGGCCTCTCCCGTGCCGTTTCGTCTGTTCCTTCGTTGTGGTAGTGAAGGTTCCCCTCATCGTCGCGCACCCGCGCCCATGCATCAATCGGAGCACCCTCTGCCTGCGGAAAAGAATGCACCCCATCACCCGCTTCTTCAGCGAAAGAAACACCCAATTGAGCTGCTTCTCCATCTTTCTTCACGCCAAACTCGGCGGAACCCCGAAGGTCTTGGGGGCCATTTGGTGATGGAATCTTTGCTGCATCCCCAACCGTTACAGAAAAGTCCTTTTTTCTCCTTTCTGTCGTCGAGCGAATGCTTTGAGCGACGAACTGCGCCTTTCCAAAGTAGATCTCAAAGAGTCGTCCGCGAAAGTTGTTTTCGATCGACTGCACTTGTTCCCCAATGGATGCAATCAAATCGACAAGATTTGGTGGTGTAACGGCAGTTTGACCCTCAAAACAATACAACCTCGATGCAACACTACCGTTGAATCTTAGTGTAGTATTCGATGAACCCTGGGAAGGGCTGAGCGAAATGAAAGCATCAAGGTAAAATGAACTCTGAAAGCGGTACGACCCCGTTGACACCTTCAAGAGACCTACATGAGCACTCTGCCAGACGCCACGCCTTCCGTATAGAGGCAAATCACCTACGCAAACGTCATCCGTAAGGTTTGCACGATACTTAATCATCAACGCGATGCCCATGGTAACGTCAGACTCGTCCGAGTCGCACTCCCATGTGTACACCGACGTTGTGCACTCCTTTCCATAATAGAGCTTGGCGTACTCTGCAAAGGCGCAGTTTGCAGCAGACTCCACCTGTCGAAGGAGCCCCGATGCGCCAGGAGACACCCCAACGAACTCCCCACCAGAGACGTACTCATTACACAATGGGCAACGATAGCTATCACCAACTCTGTTGTATTCAGATGCAATAAAGCGATGTGGGCCCGTGGAGATCATCTTTGTAGGTGCTGGTGGGCACACCACAATGGTCCACGGCGTCTCTACCGGACTTATTTGTCTATTGATAGAGGCCCAAACAGCTTCTGTGCCCTTCCTTTCGCACAGTTCCACGATGCTCTCCAGTGCCATCCTGCCTTTTCGTGGCGGATAACGAGCGAGCAGAGATACTGCTGCGTCTTCCACGTCTGCTGAATCCATGTCAGCTGAGCCTCGCGTCTTTTGGTTTCATCAAGACAAGAAGTGAGGGAGGGAAAGAAGAAGTAGTAACAAGGAACTGCGGTCAGAGTGATGTACAAGGGCTAGTGAAGCACCCCAAAGAGAAGACCTATCCCCTCCCTTGCTCTCTCTCTCTCTCTGTCTCTCTCTCTCTCTCTCTCTCTCTCTCTCTCTCTTCCTGTTTTCTTTATTTGTATATGTGTCATTCTCATTCATGTCTTTTGGGTCGTCTTGAACGGTTCAGTTTCTTAAGCGCCTTCCTGGACGCCGACGCCTCCCTGTCTCGTTGTGAATCAACTTCCCATCGTTCGAGTTTCTCCGTTGTAGCTGGGCTCCCCTTATTTCGCTGATACCACTCACGCACCAAGGATGCCATTGTCTCCTTGTGATCATCTGGGCTTCGGCCAAAACGCAGCGTTGGCCCCTCAGGGACCTCAAGGGTGCCATGGCGGTACATATCTCGCCACTTCTCCAAATAGTCATACTTTGATCGCCTGGTTACACCTTTTCCTTTTAATTCCACAGCATTCTCTTCCTTCTTCTGTATAGCCTTCACTGACGCACTCACTTTTTCCCTCGCTTCCTTGGACAAATCTGAGAAGAACGTATTGTCATTTTCCAGTGCTATTTCCTCATCCGTTTTGTAGGGTGACAGCTTGTCGCGAGCCTCTCCCTGCCACACCAGCTCTGCAGAAAGAGGCACAGGCGGTGCCATTTCCGAATGCGACTTCAGCTTTCCATCGTCGTAGCGATGATCCGGATACTGGCGGTAGTCGGACAGATCCCCTGGCGAACTGGCACCACTCCTCTCGATGTCCACCTGGTCTCCAACAGTCCGTATAGAGTTTCCCAAGGGTGAAAACTGAGGCACCGGCTGCGACCCCTCGACACTCTTTTGGTATTCTTGCTTGATGAGTTGCCGTTCACGCCACAGACGCACACCCCAGCCCTGCGGCCCGCCTCCATCCTTTGGATATGAAAGCTCTCCACCGTCCATGGCCCAAAGGCTGCCAGCAACCTCACCCTCCTGTGAGCGTAGGAGGGGCAGTAGCCTTTGTTTGTTAAGATTTGGAACGTCCTCCTTGGTCGGGAAAGAAGACGAGATTCCCATCTGCCGGAGGGCGTCGTTTTTCTCCTGAAAATTCTCGCCCTTGGGGGTACCATCCGAGTTTTCTTCAGCAAACAGCTCATGCTTGTTTGTGGTTTCTTTTTTCCATTTTTCCCACCACGCGAGTGTTGACGTGGCCGCAATTGGCAAGGGGGCAAGGACCGGATTCCCCTCAGAGTCAGTATCCTCCTTTGGCGCTGGCTCATCATCAAAGCCCATACCCCCTTCCTTCCTCGCCAGATATTCCTCCCTCGCTTGCATAATGCGCCGTGCACGTCGCTTCATATCACGCTTGTACCCCGCTGCATTATTTACACGAACAATTTTCTTCAAGAACGATGGTTTTATTTGAATACCGGCACGTTCCATGGCTTCCAGATACCGTAGTGCTCTTGCTGTGCCTCCTTCCTCACCTGATGACAAATGCATGAAAACCATGCAATCGTAGGTTCTTCTTGAGGGTGTCAGATCATCTTTCAATACCATCTCTTGAAAAAGTTTCTCTGCCTCATCAATTCGTTGCTGATGCGCCAAAAGTGCAATGTAGCATTCATAGCTGTAAGTGTCCTTCTTGAGCTGCCATTCCTCAAATGTCTGATTCCAAATTCGGTTGGATTGTTCTTCAAATCTTCCGATTGTGGTTGTTTCATCTGGTGTGTGCTCCATCGAGAGTATGGTGGCCTGACAGCACAAACGAAGAAGTGCGTTGACAAAGGGCAATTGCATCGCCCACCCACGCCTAACAACTAAATCGTAAATGCCAAAGCAAATTTCAAGATAATCAACCCATATAGGTAAAGGATCCTCTGATTTTTCCTTTAAAGCGGCGTAGTCAACCCGAATCATGCTCTGTACATATGATTGAATAGCCCACGATAAGTGTATGATACCCACTCTGACTCCATCATCTCGCATTTTACTAAGATACTTCTCTACCGCTTCAATGTCGCCAACCACTTGAGCCGAGCGAATGAGATTAAGGTATGTGTTAGAGTCCCATACGATACCCATAAGCTCCATTTTGTGTGCCAACTCTTCGCATCGAAGCCGCATTTCCGGCTTGGGACTTTGGCTCAGATGATACATCATTATATCATAATGTGGACGCGATGCAATAAATCCGTAAACATTTTCCATTTGATCGAAAATTTGGATAGCCTCAGCGAGAGAGTTGAGCTGAGATGTGTCCTTAGCCAGAGCCTTCAGTTGCAGGGAAAATGTAACTTCGTTAGGTTCGATATTAGCATACATTTTCATGTTGTCCACAATTTGACTCACTGCAGGGTAATCTTTTGCTTGGTAAAAAGCTCGCATGAGTTCATGCCAATTCCCTATGCGTGGTGTGATTCCCTTTTCTTTCATTTCTTCTATGAGAGCCATTGATTCATTCACGTCACCACGCCGAGAAGCATGTTTCATCAATGCCTTGTAGAGTTCAGCGGAAGGTCCCAATCCAACGATACAAGCAAAGTCAAAAATGGTTCGACTAATTGTGGCGTAATTCTGTTTTGAAAGCGCTGAAATCACCACGATGAGGCCGTCCTCTGTATACTCAAGGCCAAAATCCTCCATTATACACGCAAGCTGTTTGCTCGCGTTGCTGACCTCTGAATTATCATCAATGTACGCTACAGGGACATTTACTTCAGTCGAAAGCTCCCGTGCAGTTATGGCTCCAAGAACAGGGAACGCAGCACCACTCGATGAAACAAGTTCCGAGACGTCATGCTCGAGGTGCTCGTAGTTGGTCATAGGTGGTAGAAGTTCTACTGTTGCGGTGTTAGACTCACCAAAAGCTGAAGGATACACCATCGAACATCTTCCAGAGAGTGGCTGCGCGGACGGCGGTGAACGCAGCAGTCTGTCACCAAACTCCAGCAATGCCTGCATACCTGAAGAGTTACGCTCAACTGCGCCTACAACATCATCCTGCTCCTCTTCAGCTGGGAATTGCCACGCGTATGCCCAACGTTCAATGGTGTCGTCCCATTTCCCCTGAACGGGGGGCCGGTAGTCGGCAGGCAGTGTCCCTTTGCGGTACATATCCAGCTCCATTTCCTTGGCACTCCTGCCAAAAGCAACTGCCCCTCTGAGAGCAACATGTTTTAGGGCTTGGGCGTACGGCGAAAGCGCCTTCGGAAGACGCTTAGCTGTGGTCAACATCCAGCCCCTGCAAAACAAAACAAAAAAAGAAAAGAAAATATGATACGAACACACGCAGAGATGGCAAGCCATGGTCAAAAAACCCCACCAGAGAAAACAAATGCGTGCCCCTCATTGGTAACACCGCCAACGATCAGAGCAACAATGTCGCTGATGGTGGGTAGGTGAATAGAAGGAAAGTGAGAAATTTCCTTTCCTTCAGTGTTACTACCTGGGTTTTCAATTATGTGAAGGAAAGCAAGTAAGACGGCATTGCACTCCCAACCTCGGTCACCAATTCCTCATCGATACGCCCACGCGGTCAATCATTCTTCTTTTCATGTGGTTCCGTCTGTTTTTGCTGGACTTCCCGTTGTGGTTTTTGGTCATCAGGCCCGCAACGAAAAATTTCCTTAAAAAGCCAGTTTGTGGAAAATGCCAAGCCAGCTCCAAGGAAACCAAACACCCATACGTGAATGTTATCTGGCATGGCAATGATCAACGACACCCAACACAAAAGCAGCGCGGCCATCACAACATTGAACGCAATCCAGACCGCAGGCGATAAGGCGGATCCAGGTGTAAGAACATGATTAATCAGACGGGCCAGAAATGGCAGCTCGGGTTCGTCAGTCATCTATGTATATGTATATATATATATATATATATGTACAATGGCAGCTTCACTTGTTACAACAAACAAACAAGAAATTTACCAGTGGGTTAGAAACTCCCGCCCCCCCCAAAAAAAAAGAAAGTATTCGCAAACAACATGCGCGCATCTGAATTGCATCTCATATATTTATACGAAGCAAATGTTTAGGTGCCCAGGATCAAGACTACTGAACAGCAAGCTGAATTCTGTCGTGCCACGGAGAGCTTAGCTCGACACAATGTGGCGAGAGCCACCTAAGCCTGCATTTGTTGATCAATAAGAAGCGCTCACAACTTATTGATAGATTCCTGTCAAAGGATGGAATATCAACGGTAAATCGAAGACGGAACTCTGTCATATGACCTGCAAAAATCGCACTTAACACATTCGCTGTGCGACTCGCACGCCATATCTTGACAGTTTCCATCTTTTCACTCAGAACCGCAATATCGTGACTAGATGTGTTGCTGCTGTATGAAACACACAAGATGGCCTCTGGGTGCGAAACAAACGAGGCCACGATACCTGTTGTCTTCAAATTAATAACCTGCACAATGCCGTCAGTGTTTCCAACAGCAAGATACTGCAGGTGCTGCTGAAAAGAAACATTGGGAAGGCAATTGACAGCGACTCGGATCACCTGCGTCACGGGCACCACACATGAGTCATGTTCATCGCGGTTCGGGTTGTGTGGATCGAGAGCCCGAAGAAGAAAAGTCGTCATAGTTGGGAAGGAAGCGTACGAGTTAACCGGCGAAGACACAATCAGGTTTCCAAAGAACGCAATTAGGTGGGGCCTCCACAAACGTTTTTCTTTGTACCATTTCTCTACACGGTTATCTATGAATCTCTTTTCTTCAGTGACAGCAATACTCACAAGCGTTTTGAGGGCCAAAGTGCGAGTACCCCCATCACTCTCAAACGCCAAGGTGGCGACCGCATCGACCAGGGGTCTCGGATCAGCCAATACATTCGACGCCAGAAAAGGATAATACTCTCCAACAGTGCCAAGCAAAATTTGTATGCAAGACTCCTCTTTTATAGTGGCTAATGCCTCATGCAAACGAGACGCTCCCTCCCCAAACTTATGTAGAGCAGACTTCATAACAGCATCCCGATCATCTTTACCAAACGGAATCTCGCTTAACAAGGCGGCCTGCACAAACAGCTCGTAACACCACATGCTAAAATCGCCAAGGGCATTGGGAATACCAAACCAACGCCGAACAGACGACTCTTCGGCCGTTATAAAGAGCAGATGGCTCAGCAAATCGTGGAGCTGTGGTGAGGTAAGCTGCTGTGCTGCAGCACTCACTGCAATGCGGACTGCACCCTTGGCAGGTTCGGTGAGCTGCAGAAGAAGTGGAAGAGCTTCAATGATTAAGTTTTCCGGTCTGGGTGGTTTCTCGAGATGTCCTGAACTCACAAGTGAGTCAATCAAGGCCTTGATTTCTGGCATGCCAATAGAGGAATCTGGCCCCGCAGAAGCCTTTAGCGTTTTCATAAGAATAACAGTGGCAAGAAGATACGTTTCGGACTGCCCCGACGAGACGACTTGTATTTTAAACATCCCCCCACTCAACCCTCTTTCAGGCAGATTCAGAAGTGCAGGAAGCTCTGCATCCATGTATGAAGCTCCAGAAAAGAGGATGGACAGAGCCAACCGGCACGCAGGAGAAGGAATACCTCCTGTAGGGAGAAGGGTTAACACCTCTAGTATGCCAAGAATATTCACCACTAAGGAAAAGTGAATTCCTCCACACGCGGCAATTCTGTCAACTGTTACAGGACCAACCTCTGAGGAGCACGCCAGGAGGTCTCGGTATCCCGAAGCATCAGTAATAACTGAGGATACATGAAATAGGCGTTCAAGACGGCAAGTAGGTACATGCCAAAGGTTTCCAACGCTCCCAGAAACCGCAAACGCATACTCAGTTTGTTGATCCCATATCAGACTTGTAAGAGGTGCACATGGCGCCTGTAATACACGGGTACATTCGAATGTCCCAGAATGGTGAAAAGCCACGGTTCCGCGTTCCGTACAAACGGAAATGAAGTCACATTCAATCCGTTCATTTCCTGCAGGCAACATAAGGATTTTATTCACAACACCTGTATGTACCATATGAACAACTGATTTTAGCTTTCCGGAAATCCACACATGCACGCTACCATGCTCATGCCCCGTGACAAAAATGTTCTCCCGTCTCTTGTATAGCAAACAGCTGGTGACCTTATCTGGTTCTTTCTCATGAGCCAGAAATAGTTTTGTTACCTCGGAACTAGACGGTATGATTGCCACACACTCCCCTGAACGTTTTACATTGATCACCGCAATATTCCCACTAAAAAGTATTATATCTATCAGTAGCGTGTCAGAAACCTTTGCCCTAACCTCACACAACCTCAACGAACGCCTTTGACTGTTGCTGTCAGTTACACAAATTGGTCCTGGCGTACTACTCCACAGCGACTCTACGTTTGTCAAGGTCAAAAGCATAAAATAATCAGAATGACCACATAGAAGTGAGCTACTACACGATGCGAGGGCTATATGCCTGTGTGGCTCAATTACAAGGTCATTCGCATTATTCTCGTTCAACCGAACAGAGAAAGGCAGCGCCATACCGTCAGCACGGGTGACTACAAAAACATCACCCACCCAACAACCAGACACGTAGGGAACGCTCATTTCATTTTCCATAAGAGCCACAACACGCAACTTCGCTTCTCGCTTAACCGAAAACTGAAGCAGATCACGCCAAACGGAAACCACTAGAGAGCATGAACCACAACTCTTATCGTACGAATGCGCATATGAGCTTAGCGGTCTAGATTCCGCAGATACTCCGATAAAGTGAGACTCATGATTGGCCTTTTTCCCGTCCGATTTCCTTGATGTTGTAAAGACACAAACCGTTCGGCTAGACGGATAGGTTACCACTATGTCAACAGCATCTGCCTCACTCCCCATCATAGGTAGGCACGAAACCGGAGGACCCAGTTCAGAAAGAAGGCTTTGCTGAGTCACACTCAGTAGTACACTCTCGCGAATGTCCACAACACCACACAATCCACCTCTAGTTAGCACGACAACAAGCGAGGAATCAGGTACCACACCACCACACACAATGTCATAAAGATTGCCACAGCGGCCAGAGTAGCCCGTGGAAAGGCACCTTTGTGGGTCAAGATGTACAGCTCCCAGAGATCCACCAGATGAAATCATTAAGGCCTCATCAGAAGGCAAAAATGAGACATGGACAACGGCACTTCCTCCATTCACGTGTACATTTTTTACAGACACTGGAAGCGGCGTCGAGGGTTGTGACAACGCAAAATCACATACAGCACCATTGGTTTCAACCAGGCAGAGCATGGAAGCGTCACGCTCATACTGTCGGAAGAGGAGCGTTCCATGTATGCGGTAGCTGTCCTCGAGCTCAAGACTGCACATAACAGTCTGAAAGCCATCACTCGCCAGAAACCACGTACCCGAATATGACACCGATAATGAGGGAAACAACTTGGTTTTTGAGGCATCCCAGCCATGTCGAGATACTGTAACCTGAGAAGGTGCATCACAATTTACAAGCGGAACGGACAATATCATACCGCAAGCTACACTGCCAAAAGAAAAAAGGCACCCCGACGCCAGAGTATTAAGAAGAAAAAAGAAAAAAGTAGCGATTTTTTTAAATTGCATTCCACTTAAGAGAAAGCCATTATAAAAGCGTAATCATCAATCTAACGAAAAAAAAACCACAATCAATTACTCCTTCAACTTTACAACCATGGATATCCTAAAAGGACAGCACTTGTTTTTCGCTTCTGAGGATCACGCATAAGGCAACAGTTAACAACAAAATTCATACAAGTGCCACTGAGATTCGGGGGAACAAGAGGGCGATTCTCTGGCGCAGCAATATAAAAAAAAAGAGCTCGCTTGTACTCATCATTGACCACGGTGATGTCCCCCGATTCATCATTTCAGGTAGCGTAATTCCTATAGACCAAGCGTTCCGCATCCTTGTCGTATCCAACGCTACTTTCCCTTTCAGTGTCGACGTCTCAATCTCCCGATAGAACCTCTGGGGACAAAAAGACTGGAATCCATGTAATTGTATTTGTCCCCCGATTCGGACTCATTTTCTTCGAAAAGCTGAAGTCGGAAAGTTTGACAGTGTCTTTCTGTGTCACGAGGAGATTGCCACACTTTATATCACGGTGAACAACACTACGTGAGCGAACGTAAGAAACTGCAGAAACCAGTTGGTTTGCATAACTTTTGGTTATACTTTCTGGAAGGGATTCATTCATTCTTCTTACTATGATTCCAATACCTCTGTTGCTCAGCAACTCCATAAAAATAATAAGGCAGAGTTCTTCTGCGTCAAAATGGCACCCATACATACGCATCTCATGAGGATGTTTCAGTGTAGGAGCCAATTACACTTCTTCCAGGTTGTATTCATTCGGGAAACTCAACAAAATTTTTTCCACACAACCCATGTGGCCGTCTGACCAAACTCCAATGTAGACAGATTCACTTGCACCCCGACCGACAAAGCAATCCATTGATACGCTCCGCCGCCATTTTAAACCCTCTGCGTGCAGTGTTCATGAAAAACCTCGTCTTTATACTCCGAAAGAGGATTTATAACGTTTTTTACTAAACTTAATTTGGCCTGACGTCGACCGCTGAATGCACGATCTAGTAAAGCACTTTTGGCACGGTGCAAACTAGCCGGACTCTATAAGTGTACATCAATAGCAGACGCATAAAGTATAAATACAAAACCCATAAGAAAACCAATCACAATGATTACAAGAACACTTCTTGATAATGAGGATTCGTTTCTGTTTGAAACAGACATGGACATATTCTGCAAGATGAAACGCCCACCAACCCACATAAACTCGATAACATCTTCACGCGCACCTTGGTGTGCCATAGAGCCAGACCATCGACACTCACCATCAGAGACATAGCACAAATAAGCTCCATCGCATGCACTAAGGGAAACGGTCGTATTACAAAAAGAGTATAGTTAACACACACACACACACACTCTCTCTCTCTCTCTCTCTTTTGCCATGCAGGACGCCAAAAACATTGGGTAGTGCAGTGGGAAAACGAACACTGGGTAGGAGCAAAGCTGTCAACGCCACGGTACAATCCTCTGTACCAAAAACCAGTTTTCATCGACTTGGTACCGACCTAGGTCGAACATACTACACCGATGAATCACTCTCCCGTCACATCATTCAGCTTCTCCCCGTGTTAAAGACCAGCTTTTGTTGAAAGGCAACTACTCCTTGTCCCCAAGATGTTCGCTACTGCAAGCAGTACAACAAAACATAGCCATAACTTTCTGTCTCTACACCTGAAAGGAAAGGAAAACAGGATAAAAGCCGGATAAAAAAAACTGTAAGAGAGATTCAGCAGTAATTATTCAAGAAAGTTGGGCACCATTCCTAGACTTTTTCACGATGATGGTCAGAGTGAACCTTTCTCGCCTTCAACGCATGTTCTTCTTCGCGGAGATGAGGATTTCCAGCTCCATTTTACGTTGCAAAATCCTCTGTATTTTTCTGCTAGCATCTTCTAACTCGGTAACAGAGTGTTCAAACCCAGCCTCGATAAGACGCGGACGTTCTTGCAAAGATGGTAAACGTGACGCTTCATCTGGGTTATACCAGCGCAAATTACTGAGTCGAACAAAACCAGATAGAGAATCGACCATGTTATCAACTTTCAAGGGAACCACGTGCTTGCCGGCAAGAACGGAATGCCCAGACTCCACAGCCGTAACCGACCCAAAAACACTGTACTCTACTTTACTTGTGCCGCTCTCTGAAGGCGCATCCGAAGAAGTCGTTACTAACAACAGTAACAACGGATGTAGTGGCACACACTTTTCACACCTAGCATCTGACCACTCGCTTTCCCCAGACAACAATCTTGTATCCTCAAAGGAAAGCTTGTGAGGCCCAGAATTCCTTGTTGAAGCATACCCCAACAGAACAAGACCCTCCGGAGTTGGAATCCCCAAGGGCAGAACAGACGTGACAACAGCTTCCTGTATAGTCGTGCTCTCTGACACATCGGTATCTCCTTCCCTTAGTTCGTAATGACCACACAAAGTGTAACACCGCTTTACAGCAAGAGGCGAGCTCAGCAATGATGACACTAGATAGGAAAGCGTCACTCCCGAAATATGAACTTCACACTTTGGCAACATAACTACTTATCTTGAGAGGAGAAATATATATATATATATATTGAAATCACGAGAAAAAAATGCCTACGGTGAGGATAGCAAACGAGAATCCACTTCGCAATCAACAGCTATACAACTGAAATGACAAAAACACTGACAGAAAAAACAGAGGGTGTGCAACATGCAAAAACAAAAAAAA